GTTTTTTGCCATCCATGCTTTGACATCAGTAAGGCAGTCAAGCAGAGGTCGAGTTGGGAGACTATCAGAATGACTAAAAGGTAAGTAGAGCTGGCAGTCATCTGAGTATAGATGGAATGGCACTTTATGTTTCTGGAAAATCGCGCCAAGAGGCAAAAGGTACAGTGAAAACAATAACGGCCCAAGAATAGATCCCTGTGACACGCCCCAAAGCAGAGGGGCCACAGAGGATGAAGACGACCCCAACTTAACACAAAAGGTCCTATAGATAACAAAAACAACAAAACAATGGTCTGTGGCCATTCAGGTTACAGGTAGTCCGGCTCTAGCGACATGGCACATCCATATGTGTCATTCTGAGAAGGTTTGTCTCTGAGCACAGTCTCAAATCTGGAGCAGAGGGAGGTTGTTGCAGGGCAGCAGCAGGACCGGTATCTGCTCCTTTGTGCAGGGAGGAACAGGGGGAACAGAACCTTACAATGACCTTGAGCAGGCTAATCCTGAACAGACCATCTGAATCAGAATGAAAGGATTGGACTCCGTTATGGTATCATGAGGGCTCAAAGTCCTTTAGCAGGACCTGTGCTCAGAGCCCAACAGCATGCAGGTTTACCACTGGCACCACTTCTGACAGATGTAAATAAGTCTGAAGATGGCGTGGTGTTATGCTGATAACATGTTATATTCCATTCCGTTAAAAAGTCACAAAAGGTGTCGGGTTAAAAAAAACAAAAGCAGATGTGGAGTCAGAATTCTTAAATTAAAAGGTTTTATTAATATTTTTGTTCCTAATTAAACTGAAAGAAACAGACAAGTTGCTGTCACCTTTAAAAAAAAGGTTAAAAAAAAACAAACAAACCCAGGAATTGGTCAATAATCAGAAAAGTCAAAAAGGTTAAATCACCAAAACACACACATTTGCCCACAGAGCAGGAGTAAGCAGCCTCCACACACAGCTCGCTGGCTGCGAAACAAAAATGCTCTGCAGCTCTACAGCTCCCCTTTTTCTAGCCTTAAATACTCTTACTAGAGTAGTACTTATTAGAGTACACTCAGCTGTACAAAAAGGGTGGCACCTACAGCAAGTGAGCTGGCAGGACGCATCTATATTGGGTCAGAATCCAAAGAAGCACAAATATTTGTATTTTAGATCCGTCAGTATTTTTTTACCCAACTTCATGTGTACCATCCACGTCCTTTTTAGTAAGCTCTGGTTTAAATGGTATTGGTGAAGAAAGCTGAAAAGTGACTGCAGTGGCACATTTATTTTACTTAGTAGTTACATTATCGTATTAGAAAGAGAACCTTTATGTAAATTTAAATTGCCAATTGCCATCTGGATTTATAAAAAATAACAATAGGTAATCTGAATACATTGAAAAGGTAAAAGTACTTGTATGTCATTTATAGGTGAAAATGTGTTGTGAAATCCAGTGGATGTTTTTCTGTTCTACTTTCTGCAAATTGATACCACAGGTGTATCTATTAAAAGTTTTAGAAACGTTTAAAACTCAGTGACCTCAAGATCAGAGGTCAAGTTTTCTGAGGATCTATTGAATGCTATAACTCAAGACGCACCTTTGATTACCATAGCTGCACCTTCTAGGAGGCTGAGGAGCACCACTGGGGCCGTCAGTATTTTTACACTTGCTTGACAGCAGGTGTCACTCTCAGTCTGTTGTAATCACGGCAATGTCACAAGCAGTGGGACAAACGAGGAAACGCTGTAGATGCACTTTTGAAAGTCTGAAACATACTGTGGTCTTGTAGTCTTCTGTTTTTCTTGATGACTTAACATCAGACCAAAATGAAATAGTAACCACAGACATTTTCACAAGTCAGACTGAAAATGTCTGTGGGTGCCAAGAAAGATTCTTTGTTCATTCAAGCTTAGGTTATTTTTTTCTGGCTTGTTTAAACAAGTTTGTAGGCCTTGTAGACTGGTTTTATAGGTAACATTTGTATTCCAGCATACACTCACTGGCATTTCATCAGGTATGCTAAGGGGGCTCAAAGTGTGCCAAGAAAATCTCCCCACACTATTACATCACAGTCAGCCTGAATCACAATACTTTATAAATCCCAGAGACAGTAATGAAATATTACAATCGGTTACAAAGTAATAAAATATAATGAAATGGCTCTAATATGTACAAATAACTTCCAGTACATTACACAAAGTTGAATATATATAGTTGACAGTGAGTTGCCTCTATAGATACAAGGAGGGATCCATGATTTCATGTTGTTTACGGCAGATTCTGATCCTGCCATCCAAATGTTGGCAGAAGTCAAGATTCATCAGACCAGGTGACATTTTTCAATCTTCTATTGTCCGATTTTGGTGAGCCTGTGTGATTTGCTAACATAAGTCCCAGTCTGGTCTTCTGCTGCTGTAGCCCATCAACATATTGTGCATTCTACTGCTTTTGTTGTAACGAGTGCCTATTTGAGTTAGGTTTGCCTTCCTTTCAGCTCAAAGTGTCTGGCAATTCTCCCCATCTAGCATCAACAAGTCAGTAAAATATCCTACATATCAACTTTCCTCCTTATTCTGATGCTCAGTTTGATCTTGAGCAGGTCATTTTGACCACGTGTCAGAGTCCGTAAATCCATGGCTCAAAGAGTATGAAACGATCCAGCTGTAAAGCAACAGAATGATAATACTGGTGCTGATGAAAGTGAGGGAGCCTCCATGGTCAAAAAGTCCCTGAGTTTATATATATCCACAGACAGCTTCTGCAACTAATCAGCACTAAGGATAATGCTAGTATTAGCAAGTATTACATCTTTTCTTGATATGTTACAAAGTATACTGTTTACATATTTTCAGATACCTATTTTTTTTTGCCAGTGAGAGGATATCCAACTGACAATATTAATAGTCTTCACAGCCTAACTGAGTGCACACAAAAGGGTACTTTACTGCTCAGGATGTAACACACAGCCCAAACAAACCTGTTCAGGTACGAAGCAGGGTGCACTTTGCATTCTGTTTGGGCTGATGACTTTATGGCTGCCATGGTGACAGAGTTGTGATGTTGACAGAGACAAGTAAGCAACTTCAGTCATGCCCTTCCTTGTTAGATGATACATGACGGCTTCATTACTAGATTTTCCCTGGAGATGGTTTTGCAAGGATAGATCGCATTTTCCCGAAATCCCGGGCGTGTTGCGATCAGATAAGGCAGTACCAGACATCACTGCTGGTAATTTAAAAATTCCCCGAGTCCGAGCCCCAGACTAGTGTGTCTCTTATTAACGGGAAGGCTCAAATGTATTCACCATTTATCATTTATCAAGACATTACAGTTGCACAGTCTCAGGTAGAGGGGTGTGCCTAAAATCTGGTCACCATGTCGGCTGTCATCATCTTCAGGTACAGTCAAAGAAAGAGACTGAATTTATAAGCCACCACATGCAGAAAAACAGCCACACAAACAAGTTAAAATTATTTATTTAAGCTACAGTATGTTCATGCTTTACAGCACTTTTTAAGACCTCTTGCTCGGTGTTGTGTAGCAGATCAGGAGCTTTAGTTTAATCTGACTCTTCTACTACCACATATACTATGAATATTTTCTTTCATTGTGCTACACCGTGGGGTTAGGTAGAGGCTAGTAAAGACAATGCTTTACCCACCCGTCATTACTCAACAGTTCATAATCTTTTGGCATGAACAGACCTGCAGTTTTTTGGAAGCGATGTTTCAGCATTGCCCCTTATGGGAAATGAAAGAAGTGGATTATGAGATTAGGAAGACTGATATGAAACTTTTATTAGAGTGCAGTCTGAACCTCTAAAATCTATAAAGACGATGCTTGGTATACATATTCATTGAAGTAATATCCTCATTGTTTCCCATAATCATGACATTGGTTCTCCAGGTGTCATTTAACAATAGAACGTGCTGCAGATAGAGTTCAGGTTAATGTGTCAACATTGTTTCGCCTTTATTTTTGTCCTTTGCATATAGTCTACAGGAAATTAGTCTTTAAGAGAGCCATGAAAGGAGTCTGCAAGCGCTGCTATCAGTTATTTAGTCTAGACATGACTAAATACAGCTAAGCTTCCACAACTGACTGAATCCCTCCTGACAAAACATATTGCACTTTTGTGTATCTTCTACATTTTAAGTCACATTCTTACTGTGTGAAACATGTGGAGCATGCAGCAGCAGCGGAACAAGATGCCATCATTGTTTCCTTCAGCGTGCACATTCTCTCTCTACCTTAACTTTTTTTTACTCTCTTACACAGAAACAGGAAAATGAGAGTGCATATTTAACTCCTGTGGTTTTATGAGTTTTGCTTAAAACCAGTATGACTCACACCTCACATTCCACCTCCACTTTTCTCAGTGTCAGCTCTCCTGCTTCTCCTGTAATTCTGCTTCTGTTACGCTCCCTTTTCCAGCACCCCTCCGACTTCTTTTGTTGTTGTTTTTAGCATCTCCTTCTTTTGGCTCAGAGCAAGTTGGAGGCCTTCACGTCGCAGAAATCCGCTTGTTACTTTGACACATGCTTCCATATGTTTGCGGTTGTATGTTTTAACAGGGTGAGAACATAGTGTGGAAAAGTGCATGTGTAGTGTGGCTGCTGGCAAAATTAAGTGCATTTATTCAAATTGGGATGGCTGAGAGCGAAGGAGCCCTCGGTGGGCCTCAGCCAGTGTCTTGGTTACCAAGTCAATATTGACCATGTTCGACGTGGTCACTGGCTATTAATAGGAGAAAGTGGAGCCATATAAGGTTATACGATTTGGTTTACTTTCAGTCTGGCTGGCTTTTATATCATAATATCAATTATAGGTCCCTGCTGCCAAATATGCAACTCTCAGCTACTACTAGTGTGTGTGTGCGTGTGTGTGTGTTTACACAGTGTGCAGCTGCCATGAGCCACAGCTTACCAAAGAACTGAGGGAGAGAGAGAGAGAGAGGGAGAGAGAAGACAGATAGAATTAAAGAAGAATGGAAAAAGCCGAGCAGAGTTACTGCAACGCTGCACTCCTCACGGTCAAAGCTAGCCTACGAAGATCAGATCACGTTATCCCAGCAGCGAAACGTACCTGAGCTGCAACAGAGCAGGTTTATGTTATCCCGCATGAAGAAAATAGGCATTGTGATTCTAGTGATGCTAATATCCTCTGCAGTTCACGGTGACCTTCAGTAAAGTATCAGTGCTGACTGCTGTCGGGCCATCACCCATCTAGTGGCTGCTTTAATTCTTCCTAGGTGCTCGGGTGGATGTGGACACTTTTTTTTCCCTAAGGTAGAGTATTGTCTGATCTCTTTGCACTTCTATCTCATTTGATGTTTCTAAGTGTTGTGATGTCAGGCTTTGAAGAACTCTTTTCATTTAGCATATAATCAGCTGTTAGAGGAGCCTGTATTAGTATCCCTTTGACCAGAGTTGTTCTTCTGGCGTTCCTCTTTGATGCTCTTTGACGTTTTTGTCTTCAGAGTTTCAGTCTGAAGGCTTATTGCCAGTATTTTGTTTTTTAGAGAACTTTGCTCGTTCACAAAAGCATAAATATGCTGTGACAGCAGTGACTCCTTTTTGATGGAGGTTTCAAATATGGACTATAGACTTTACTGAGCAAAGTCTCACACTCATCAAGTCATCATGATGCCATATGTATGTTAGTATCCTGATAATCTTCAGTCGTGGTCATACTGGCAGCCCTCAGGTGAGAACTAGAGTATGTGAGATTAAGAGCAGGGTGTTGCTCGAAACCCTAAGAATATGTAGTCCACAGGGCCTGCGTAAATAAACCGAGGAGGCCTTGTTATTCCAGGTGGTGCAGTGTAGGTGGGGGTAGGAGACGGCCCGTGTTGATGTTGCCAGGTGTTGATGGTATTGCTGTTGCATGTATGTGATGTCATTTACTGTTCAACTGCTAAGCAAGACTGGCAGATTCATTTGCTGACTGCTTACATTAAAAAAAACATTAAATATAAAGGCAGAGAAAGACTGGGAATTCAATCACGAACAGTTAGGTTGTTTTGTTTAGTTTTAGCAAAGTAATTGCGTGTATTGTATCTGTATTTGTTCATGCTGGGATTACTACTGTTTATTATTATGAAGTAAAAGGTACTGCTGAAAAACTGGTGCTAAAGGATTTAACTTTATCTGAGGTCTTTAGCTGAGTAAAGTAAGGATTGCCTCTACTGTAAGTTTAGATAATTGTCATTAATAATAGGTTTTAAAGCTTAATAATCAAGCTGCTGACTGTCTGTTCACACAAGGCGATGTTGACGCCGTGTTTGAGTGTGTCGGAGGGATCTCGAGTGTGATGGAAAAGCAGAGCAGACCAGAGACTGACTCGGGCAGGTGCAAGGTCACGCAAACAATCGACAAGAGACAACAGAACAGGAACAGCGTAACGATGCTGCTAGAAATAGCGCCTGCCCTTGTTGAGGCAAGGCGAGCAGAAAGAGCGCGTGGCGGTGCAGAGAGGGTGCTGTGCTGGATTGTTCAATAGAAGTTCAGTTTTCTGTTTTGTAAAAAAATAAAGTAAAAAGACAAAACCATCTGCTCTCCCTCTGGGATTCGGGGCTTGGCTTCATCTAACTGCTGCTTTCCCAGGAAACGGGTCAGTAATTTTACCGCTTAAATTCAATGTGGTATCTTTGGCTACGCTAGACCTAAAAATGTTGGGTTTGGGGCGTGGGATGTTGCTTAAACTGTAAGTGATTCAGTCCATTCTTAAGCAATGCGAGTCAACGATTAAGTGCTTTAACGAGCTGGCACAGTTGGCCAGCAAAGAACTGACAAAGACTGAAAATTGAGAGACGGTGATGATTTTTATTAGGCAAAAGTTCTAATAAATTCAATTTGTTGCGTTAGAGTAGCTGGCCTCATGAGAGTGATTTATGTGGGATAAACTGTGGGGGTATAAAGAAGCAGCAGTAGGGCATTTCATAACAAAGTGATATTTGATTTTACTCTCACTTAAGTAGTTTGTGCTTGAAAAGTCTGTACAAACAGAGTGCGAGGAATGCATGCATTTTAGTGGGTACACAGCACAGTGTAATAAAACTAATACCGAGGACAGTGTGTGCCTTTTAAATGGGGTTCACAGCGAGTTTTCATATTTACAGGAGGAGGCAGAAAACCACTTAAGCCAGCAGCGTGCTCGTAAAGAATCGCCAGTGGGGAAAGACCCTAAAAAGTGGGAATTGTGTGTTAGTCTAAGAGCATGCGTTTATATGAGCGGAGATAAAAATTTCTACACTGAACGCAAAAGCCTTTTTTCTGCAGCAGTGGGAGTAACTGTTTCATTTACGTGCCTCTGGATGCTGCACGTGGATGGACATCATCATTATTCACAGTTAAATACCAGGGACCTCTGCAACACAGGACTGCGTTCTAATAAACAGGCTCAAGTGTTTGTTATCATAGTTGTGACAGAGTCACCCCTGCCTATTTACATATGTGCTTATGCATCACCGAGTATGAGTGTATGCAAGTACCCTGCTGTTTGTTTTTCTTTCTTTTAGCACAATATTAGAGGAAGAGAAGGTCCAGCAGAAGGAGAGGAACAGGATGGAGATGAGGAGACAGGTCACGGTTTCGTGGGATTCTGGAGGGTCTGATGAAGCACCACCAAAAGTAAGACACTACCACACCACATGTGTTTGTGTGTCTGTGCGTTTGTGTTCGTACGAGTGCACAGTGGTGTTTTCTGTGCTGTTGACACCCTGATCATTGCAAACACTCAGTGCTTTATAGCCACAATTACAGACTTTTAGTATTCTTTCTTTTGGATTTGTGATAGTTTGTTTCCAACTTGTTGTATTACCCAAATATCTAACTGTTAAACTTGCTGATTTTTCCTCTTTAGACTTATGTTAACACTTTTCACATGATGACTTGTCAATTTGCACCCTTGTGATGCAGTCAGACGAGTCATAGCAGAAGTCAAAACAAAGAGATGAGAAAAGATTTAAGCTCTTTCATACAGACTTTTCAAGGAGTGCCGTGTGTGTCTGTGTGTGTGTCTGTGTGTGTGTGACCACGTCCCTCCTTGTAAAAATGCTAACACTGAAAAGGAAGGAATGGATTAACTTGATTTAGTCTTTGATTTTTGATTTTTCTTTCTACATTCAAAACGCCGTTTGTATTTCTGTGATGCCAGAGTTTCCTATTATGCTTTTTTCACTATGATCATTGTGATGACAGTGCAAATGCGTGACCACAACCAAACCCTGTTACACAAGAAAAGAGCAAGAAGAGAAAACTTTTCTCTTTCTTCTTTTCCTTTTACTTTGTCATCATCCAATCTGAAAACCAGACTCGTCTCTTATTTTTTCCTCACAAATGCTCAATTCTTTAACTGTTCTGTTTGCAAATCCATAAACCCAGCCCCCAACTGCTACCATTACTCCTCACAGCTTGTTGCCTCAGCTGCTGGTTGCTTTATCCTCACTTACAGCCTTATGCTACCCTGCTGTTAGCATCTGATTTAACTGCTTCCTTCGGCTGCAATGAAAGCCAGATGTCTCAAGCAGTTCACGAGATTGAGATGTTTTTTTTTAAAGGGTCAGGCTAGTTTTGTTTGCCAGTAAACAGCCAGTTCATTGGCAACATAATAAATTAAAGCTGTTGGTTTGGGAATCTTGATGCATGCTCAATCATTCAGGTAAGGGAATCTCAAAAAGTCGATTCTGTTCATCTGGACGTAGTGAAGTGAAGAAGTCAGTTGGATGAACAATAAAATGTTTCTGCTACTGAAAACGCTACGTCCAGATGAACAGAATCAACTATTTAGGATTGGTTTTGGTACAATCTGTAAGCTTATTTGCTGCATGACTTAGGATACAGTTGTGTACATCTCTGTCTATGCTTTATCTCTTCCCGGCTGTCACACTGTGACACTTTTATTTCGACATGTCCCTCCTCTACCTTTGTGTTTCTGTTTGCAGCCCAGCCGTCGTCCCTCCCTGCAGCCCACCTTCAGTATGGATTGTGTTTCTGCTCCTTCTCATCTTCACTGCCATCAAAAACAGTGCTTTGCCTCACAGCTTTCCCTCTGCACTGGGAACCCTCATCCTCACCTTCCCACTTATCCTCTCAACTTATCATCTCTAAAACGTCTGCAGCACTTTTCCTCTTCTCCCAGCCCTCAGCCTCAGTCACCCCCTCAAAACAGCACTTATTACAGCAGCTCTTTGTCTCCCCGCAACCCAGAGTTAAATAGTGAATTCAAATCGTACTCCTCCCTGTTGGTTCAAGATCAAACTAACGTATTTATTCCACTTCACACACATTTGGACAGCCTGTCCAGCAGCAGCTGCCCACGAAAGACAAATCCACCTACTAAAAGCCACCTGCTCCCTTCCTCCCATTCAAAGTCAAACAACACCCACTTCCATCCCCGGCATTTCTCTCCTTTCCTTTCACAGTCCAGTCCCAACTTTAACTCTCTGCCCTTCAGCACGTCAAATGTTTGTCCCCACACCCTCCATAGCATCCAGCCCGAGTCAAATTTTGATCTTAAGACCCTGCAATTGCACAGAAACAGCAGCTCTCATACCCACCGTCAGACTAATCACAATACTCCACTCCAACTGCACTCTGACGCCCAGACCTGCCATCCTGCTGTGCAGTCATGTGAGAAGTCCCCACTCCCCCCTCTTGCCCCACACACAGTAGCATCTGCCTGTAATCTGTCCTCTACCCACCTTCACCCATCCAGCCAAATGCATAACCTCCCCATAACTACCCACGTACCTTTTTCCATCCTCTGCTCTGAAAGACCCATGTCTACACCATTGAAGGCAGGTGGTGTGCTGCTAAACTACACTAAAGCTTTTTCTACTAACAGGAACAAATGTGAGTGCACGTATTTAAAAAAAGAAAAACGCTGCAACAGTCCCATTAGTGATGCATGTTGGGTACGGTCAGTTAACATGACAGGTCCAATCACTCAACATAAGTAAATAGTTACTTTTTTTAACATTATTTTATGTGAACATTGATTTTCACAATCTAAATTCCATTTTCAACATAAAGTGGGATGAGAGTTGCAGCATTTTTTAATACTCTCCACTGAGAAGTAAAACTCTAATCTTTAGACCATTATCATAATTACTGTGCAGGAGGGAGTTTGTGTTTTTTTCCATGGGTTTATGCTAAGACTGCTTGCATGCTTTGTTCTCGCAGGACAGGCTGTTGAAACGTCCTCTGCCCTCTGTGATTGAATGCGGCCACATATATTTGTGTTTGCGTCTGTCGGGCATAGTTTTGACGTGTCCTCGGATTAATGCACCCTATTTCTGGCTTGTTCAGGAATGCCTTCAACGAATCCTTAATCCAGTGGGCTAACACTGACTAATCGAACAAACATGACACTTCTGTGGAGTGCATGTTAAATCAAAAAACACAAATATCTGATCAGTTTCAGTGACACTAGCTCAGAACAATGTTTAATAAATTATTTTCACAATCGAAGTCCAGAGGCAAATGTAACACAGTAACACACTGTGATTAAATACCCTCTAAGCATATGGACCTGCTTATGCATTGTACTATATCACATTGATTTATTGCATAATATTATTAAATCAGGTTGTCTTACTGAGATCTTTTTCAAGTGAGATCTATGCACAAAAGATATTCAAAGTTTCTACTAATGTTTAGATGAACATGTGAAGACAGTAACTATAAATACCAGATGAGGGTAAAAGGCCTGCGTGTGTCACATGT